GGAACTCTTATCAGAAACTTGATTTTATTTTTCATTCTTTATTCCATGTCTATTGATCCTGTGTTTGTTGGTATACATGTATCTTTAGATTTTTCTTTGTTTAAATCTTTGGTTCCTTAAAGGATATTTTCTATCCTTTAATCTATTTACTTTTCCTCATTTTATAAATACTGATTTTTTAGATTCTTTCTAATTACTCTGTTATCTGGTGATCTATGGGGGGATCTGGTAGCTCATCTTAGAGTAAATCATTTTTTGCGTGTTGTGTAATTTATGTTTCAGAATACATTTTCAACAAAGACTACTTCCTCATGCCCTAGGATGTCCTGTGAGAATCCAGCCTAGGACCAGTGTTTTTGTTCATTTTTCAATTTGAGATCTTTACTACATGTGACCCAATCTTCTTTTGAAAAAAAAATGTGTTTATCCTCAAAGATATGGATAGAGAAAAATATTTGTCACTTATTTGAACTGGCAGATTTATATATATATAAATATATACATATTTATAAATATATATATATATAATTTTTTTTAATGTAGTTTTTGGCCAGGGCTGGGTTTGAACCCACCACCTCCAGCTTATGGGGCCGGTGCCCTACTCCTCTGAGCCACAGGCACTGCCCCAGATTAAATATTTTTTAAGTTCTCTTTTCATAGAGAAACAGCCATTTCAGCCTCTAGGCTTCCTGCAGTATCTCAGTCTTCCCTTTTTGGTCATGCATACCTAAGGAAATAACTTCTGTTCCTACATGAACATTAAAAAAACCTAGTTATCAAATTTTAGATCTTATATATGTGCACTTTATTTTCTAAGTCCAATCTAGAAATACCTGATGAGTAATGAGTTTACTGTTCTGCTTATCTTTGCCCCAAACATCTGGGACTTTTTTTTATTTCTTTGGCCTCAATTATGTATTTTTAAAACCATAGTTTGTAGTCTATATCTCTTTTCCCCGTGCTTCTTAGTGGTGGGGGTGGCAGAAGGGAAGTCTGGGACAACAGTTCCCCATGTGACCAAAACTATAAATTGTTCTGTTGGTTTAATATGGCTATTCTTCCAAGTGCTACACTTCTTTCTTAAAGATCATTCCTATGACATAAAGATCATTCTTCAGAAGTTTCTTGTTCCTCATGATCAAATTAGTCTTTGGTTTTACTTTCCTTGTTCAAATCCAAGCCCATTCCCATCTTGGGAAGCCAATTAAATCTAAGTTGCCTTCTCCTTTTTCACTATATCTGAATCAGGATTATTACTGTGCTCAGGATATTTATGTATTATTGGGACGGGTGTGGTGTGATGGATGAGAGTGAATGCTTTCTTTCTTCTCTTTATTCACCACTGTGGATCCATTTAAAGTTATAACATATACTCACATATGCATGGCACAAGTAGTTACATCATACCAGGAATTTTTGCTACAGAAAGTATATTATTGAAGACTAGAGAAGTATTATTGTGAAAATCTATTTCCTAGAATATTTTGTTGTACTTTAGCCTATGTAAAGATGTCAAATAGCTGCTAAAGAATCCTAAGCCATGTTTTATACTCTCATATCAGAAAATATGCATGTTTTGTAAGCTACTGAGTGGTGATTATGACAGAAACTGACCATTTGTTCATCAAACAAAGTTCTCTTTTTTCCCGACACCCAGTTACATTTCTTGGTCTTCTTTGCAGCTGGGTGTGGTCATATGACTATACTCTGGCCTATAGAAAGTGAATGACCAATAACAATCTGCTCCAAAATTTCTCCCTCAAGTCTACCATCAGTAGTCTGTATGACAATATCTACATCAATCTTGGAAGACATATATTGAAAATAATAAAAATTTCTGTACCTATATAATTACCCACTTCAGTCCCACATCACCCTTTATCCCTCCATCATCAGTAGGATTTTAGAAAAGCTAAAACTAAATTTCAGTTATTCTCATTCACTGACCTATTGTGGTTTACTTCTTATAGCAGCCAATTATAGCTAATACAATGGCAGAAATTTAAGGAACATTTTCTTCTCTCCTGCCATCCCTATTCCTTTTCTTCTAAAATTACTTTTATGTAGGTGACTGGTTCGCTGCTTCTGAGAATTACTAACAATAGGATTTAAGGATATAACAAAAAAGAAAACTATAGACAAATATTCTTTATGAATAAAGATGCAAAACTTCTTGAAAAAATATGTATTCAGCTGCACAACAAACAAAAAAACCCCACTACAACCAGGTAAGCTTCATCCCAGAGACACAAGGATGGTTCAACATATACAAATATATAAACATGATTCACCACATAAATAGAAGCAAAAACAAAGAGCATATGATCCTCTGAATATATGCAAAGAAAGCATTTGGCAATATTCATCACCTTTCTAGATTAAGAACTCTTACTGAAATAGGCATAAATGAAATATACCTCAAAATTATAAAAGCCATGTATGACAAACCCACAGCCCAATATCACAGTGAACAGTGAAAAATGAGATCTAAGATTCCAGCTTAGAACTGGAACCAGACAAGTTTGCCCACTGTTACCACTTCTATTAAACATAGTGCTGAAAATCCTCACCAGAGCAATCAGGCAAGAGAAGAAAATCAAGGATATACAAATGGGGAAAGAAGAGGTCAAACTATTGCTCTTTGCTGATGATATGATTTTATATCTAGAAAATCCCAAGGATTCTAACAAGAGATTCCTGGAATTGATAAACATAGCAAAGTCTCAGGTTATAAAAATCAACATACACAAATCAGAAGCATTCCTATACGTCGACAATA